ATCCCTGGCCAGGGTTACGCCTTCAAAATCCCTTGAGGAACATGGGCCGTGTCTATGGCCTCCTACAGCAGAGAGCCACTGACTGGATCAGATCGTGACAAATGCGAATTCACCATTAATTTGCTAAAGGCAGAGAGTGATACTCATCTCTGGTTGGGGCTCAGAGATTTTTATCAAGGCTGCGATGTCCCGATCTGTAAGTTCCTCATGGTTCCTATGTCATAGAGACCCACCTGGACCTACACTTTTTTCAGCTATCTGTCTAACCAAAATGTGGTTGCTCACTGAGCACACTTCTGTCTGCTCGTGCTCTTTTGGGATGAGACCTGTGAGTGACACGAAAGAAAACAGCACAACTGGTCAGAGGAAGATGAAGAAAAGCAGCCCCCAGCTCGGCTGAATGCTAGTCTTTTTGCAGTTTGTCTTCCTCACTGGTAAGAAGGGAAGCCAAGCGACCCTGGTGAGCTACTGTGAAGGATCCAGTGAGAAACAGAGCTCCCCATCACTCCTCTTCACCTCCAGAAGCCCGAGGAAGGACATAAGAAAGAGAAACCATGGCAGGGCCATTCTGGAGAGCATTCTACCAGCCATCTCCCTGCTTACGGACTGGTCTGGGCCTTGTTACAAATGCATATGCTGAAGTCTTAATCCCTGCTACTCAAGATGTGATGTGATTTGGAAATAGGGGTGTTATAGATATTGAGGGTGGCCCTTCACCTAGTGTGACTGATATGCCTTTATTTAAAGTGCTTTTCTTTAGCATGTTTATTTGGCTTTTAATGGCCACAATTATATATATATATATATATATATATATATATATATATATATGAATGATACAGTGTAGTGTTTCAGTACATGTATACATTATATAACAGTCAAACCAGGATGCTTAACATCTTAGCATGCCTTATTTATCATTTCTTTGTGACGGGAACATGCAAAACTTTATTTTGCAGCTATTTTGAAATATTCAATACAGTATCGTTAGCCGCAGTCACCCCACAGTGCCATAGAACACTAGAATTCATTCTTCTCATCTTTCTGTGTCTTTATACCTATTGTTCAACCTCTCTCTCTACGCTTCCCCCCTACTCACTAAGGTGTAACTACTGTTCTGTCCTTTACTTCCATAAGATCACCTGTTAGACCCCCACCTCTGAGTGAGAGCTGGCAGTGTCTGTCTTTCTGTGCCTAGCTTATTGTACTTAACATAACAACCTCCAGATTCATCTGCACTGCTGCTGCTGCTGGGATTCTATTCTTCTTAAGGCTTAATTAGCATAGTCCACTTTATTTACCCATCCATCAGTTGAGGGCCACTTAGGTTGTTTTCACATCTTGGTCACTGTGAACAGTGCAGCGGTGAATCTTGACACACACACGACCCTTCAGCATGCTGATTTCATTTCTCTGGAATACATTTGCCCAGCAGTGAAATTGCTAGATTGTATGATAGTTCTATTTATGATCTATGGAGGAACCTCTACAGTTTTCCATAGTGGTTATTCTAATTTACATTCCCAACAGCAGTGCATAAGAGTTCCATCTCTTCATCTATGCTGAAGTTTGTAATTTTTGGCTTATCTGATCCTAACCATTCTAGCTGGGGTAAGAGGACCTTGTGGGTTGAATTTGCATTTCCTTGATGATTAGGGACTCTGTTTTCATGCTGGCCATTTGAATATCTTCCTTGGAGAAATGACTATTCAGGTTTTTGCCCATTTTTTTAATCAGACCTTTTTTTCCTTCCTCTTTTCCCCTAGTCCCTGCTATTGAGTTGCTCATGTATGCCGGATAATATCGCTTGCTGTGTGCATAGCTGTCAAATACTTTTTCCATCTTATAGACTGTCTTTCACTGTGTTGATAGTTTCCTTGACTGTACAGAAAACGTCACATGAAGCAAGAGAGGTGATACTTTTACAGGCCAAGGAACCATTGGAACCCAGGGAAGAAACTTGGAACAGATACTTCCTTACAGCCCTCAGAGGAAACCAGCTTTGCCAACACCATGTCTTGGCTGCCCAGACCTTGAGACCATAAGTTCCTGTTGTTAAAACTACTCAGATTGAGGTACATCGTGACCACAGCTCTAGGTAACCAATACAGCTCCAGAGATGACTTCTGTGGGGGAGACAGCTCTGTGCAGACAGGAGGAGGCACTGCAGTTCCACAGAAAGGGTGAGAGATACTCAACCAAAGGAAACTGCTTCTCCAAGGCCAGGGAGATTTAACTCTTTGAGGCCTGGGGCCATGTTACAAACTTACCTGGTAGTTAGATATTCACTCTGACAAAAATTCTCGGTGGCACCTTGCACCTATCAACTTTCCCTTTTGGGACTGGTTTCCTTGACTATATAAGAGGATTGTGATCCCCAAATTCCTTTGGTTACAATATTCTGTGATTTTGATTCCATATGAATACATTCAACCTGCTTGCTCAGAGCACAAAGAAGAAAAAGAAACTTCACTCTCCTTACAAGCAGCCAATCAACTGTGATTATTTGCATCACTTAAGAAGGGGCAGACCCCAAACCTTGGGGATGATATGGTATACTAAGAGGTCCAAAACCTGTTAAGTCTGTTTGCTAGACTCCGAGGCCCTCCTGCCTTGGTGTCTGCCTTTCTAGAAGCCCACTGTCCTGGGGATTGCTGAAGATTGTCCTCTTTTCCAGAGGGTACCATGCATGCCCCTGGATGTCAAATTGGGTATGCCAGACACCATAGTGTATCTTTTGGAGCCCTTCTCTCTCTGCTTTGGACACTGAAAGAACACTGTCTTTCCAAGTTGCCATAGTATTTTGAGTTAACCAATTTTTGAGTTACTTTAGATGGATTCCATCATGTCTCTACTATAAGGGAGCTTGAATCTAGTCAAAGAATATTTGTGACTACAAATGGCCAATATCCCCTCCCCAGGCTAGAATGCCAATAAATTATGCTTTTCTGATTCCTGGAAATAGATTCACACAAACCAGATCAAGTCATCAGGGAAAGATGAGGTCTGGAGTCATGGACTTACTATAAGGTGATTGATTATAAGAGAGATTAAGAAGAGAAATCTCCAAATAATGACAGTCTTCATGGAACCAGGTACTGGAAGATCATCCCAGTTGTGGGGACCTTATTCTGATGTGACCCAGTCACTCTCCAGGAGTCAGCTTCTCTATGCTTCTCTTCCCCATTGCAATTCTCTTAGCGTTTTCCCAAGAATGACTCTGGCAGAATTGGACACAACATACTATTAATCATTACTCTGATAGAGAGAGAAAAATGGGAACTCAAGTTCCTGAGAAAATAACCCATTTCTTCCCAGAAACCTAAGCCCTAATAACTGAACTAAACTGGTTAAAGTTCTACCAACACACAGTTGTGTGAGGTCAGCCATGCTGGACACGTCTGGCTTCCTGACCTTAGGTTAAGTCCCTGTGTCCATTTCCCCATCTCTAAAATAGAATATTTATTTGCATGCTTTCTTGCAGTAGGGGTCAGGAGCAGGACCCTACTGTCCACTCTGGTCCAAGCACTAGGTGGCAGGAGGAAGTCTCCAAACTGTCCTGTCTCAGTACCTTTGCAAATAAGAGGAGACTTCTGAACAAAGGACACTTTCTATTCTGTCTCTTCTAACTCCTACATAGCTAGCTGTTCGCTTCTTCCTGTGGGTCCATCAGAGCTTAGCTCCCACGCACGCTTCTTCCTGACATCCTCAGAATCTTTTCCTCCGAAGTCCCTGCAACGTAGACAAGAACATCATGGGTGCCCCTTTGATGACATACAGTTTGAACCAATTTGCGTTGAAGGCAGCTTCTATAATAAAATTCTACACTCCTCTGCCCAGGTTGATCTGTTTTGAGATGTGTCTTTTTTACTTATTATTGATCACTCATTGGCTGTTGTCACTGTTTGATCTTCTCTGTTCTTGGAACGCCACCCACAGTGTCTCCTGGCCCCTCAGCCTGTCTATTAAACAGTAATGATACGTAAACAGGCTCAGAGGTGCTCTGGGAGCAAAGGGACCCTGGGGCCAGTCTCCCTCTGCCTGCGGATTGTCATTCCTGAAGCTGTCTGTTTTGTAAGTTCTTCTGCCAAGTTTCTATGGGAGCAGAGGGATCATTTTCTCCATTTTCAAAGAGCAGGGTGAGATGAGGCTTCAAGCTGGCAAGTCTTTTAAAGTCACTTTCAAAGGAAACCTGAGCTGAAAGGCCATGCGGTTGGCAGAGGGTGGTGTGACTTTCTGAAGCTCTCTCTGGGGTTTGGGGTGGTCAGTTCTCCTAGGCTTCCTAGCACGTGCTTGGAGCCTGCTGCATGGCCACTGCCAAGGGACAGCACTGTCCAGCCACCAGGCCCATGGACCTTGGAAAGGCTCTGCCTCCTCCCCCTCCCCACCGCCAGGAAGGGACAGGAAGGGGGTGTGAACTTTCTGCTCTGGGCCAGTTACCAGAACCACATTGTCCTCCCTGTCCTCAGGTCCTGTCAATCAAACTTAATCCTTGGGGTTTTTTGAGGTAAAACACAAGACAGTGCCAAAACAAGCAGAGGTGAATTTACGTCTGTGTCATGGGATTATTAATGGCCTAGTTCACCCAGTCTCTTCATGAACTGGCTGAGAAGGGGAACCAGAAGGAAAATGATTGTCCCAAGTCACATAGGAAGAAGTAACTGAGTTCTACCCGCTGCTCAAAGCATTTCTGCAGGGGTCAAAGTTTGTTTGGCTTGAAGCCAGTCATAAAGCTCCTGAGGCTACAGGAGTCTGTTGATCTCCCAAGAACCTCCAGAGTGTCCCAAAAGAGCTGAAGGATGAGCATCTGAAAGCTGCGGAACACCCCAGTGCTGGGAGCCAGTGTAAGTGCAGGCTAAGCTCCCCCAAACAGCCCTGGCCTCCTCTCAGCCTCTCCACTAGAGTAAGAGCCCCCTGTATTCAACATTCCCATTCCATTCCCTTCCCACCCATTCCCATTTCCCTTTCCCATTCCCTGAGGTAAGACCTTCGGGACAAGCTGATTTTTCAACATTTTATTCCGATATTTGTACAGCTATATTTTACAACATGGTAATGCAGTTTAGACACAGCCAAACCCTGTCTCCGGAGAAGTTATAACACAAGCATGACGCAGAATGGGATGAGACAAACACTCCCTAAGAGAGTTTAGTTAGTGACCACTTCAAGTCCCTGTGTCTGCCTACACTTCAAAAAGGGATGGCACACTCCCGTCCATCGCTAAAAACTTCCGTGAAAAAAGGCACCGTGAGGACACATTGTACAGGTATATACAAACTGAAAACTAGAACAAAATTACACATTTTCTCCTTCTTCGGCTTTTTTTGTTCTTTTCATTTTTTTAATACACACTTTGTAAATTGTAAACCTTCACTTGCAAAAAAATACAAATACACTGAGGCATTTTAGACAAAATATTTTCTTACTTATACAGATGCAATACTTAAAATATTCTCTTAAGTGCTCTTTCTCAATAAAGATTCTCAGATCCGTGTCTGCCTGCAGATACAAAATCGAGCCTTTTACGCAGTTTTATATTTTTAATATATCTTTTTAGGTTTATATATTTATATTATATATATATTTATATATTTACAACTCTGCCATATATTCCTTCACCTTTGGTTAAAAAAATTAAAGCCCTCTCTTTGATAACATACTGAAGTCCGGTCTTTTAAAAGAATGCTCATTTACATACAAAAGAAATATGTGTTCCCACAAAACATATACATTCCTCATTTTCCAGACGAAGTCAAGTCAGAACTTTCGCATATTCCCCTGCTTTGATATATAAAATGATTTTGCTGTGTTTGCTGACATGGTTTGCCTTACACGGAGGAGAAGAAGCGATATTATTTTCTTATGTTTTATGGCAGTTGGGGGAGGCAAGCCGCTGCAGCTCCCAGGCCCCCCAGGCCCCGTCCCCCACCCCCCGCCCCCAGCTATGATTTGCACTAGTGGATGAAAGAGGCACTACATCATGGGATGGACGTTGTTGTAAAGTGTTACAGTATCCTTTGGGTCGATTCTGAGGAGTGGCTGGAGGGGAAAGTGTCAACACTCCATGCTTCAGCAGGCTTTGGGGAGCTCCGGAGGCAGGTCGGTGGCGGACACGCGGTATTGCACCTTGGTGTTGGTGATGGCGCCATGCTTCTGGCGCAGGTGAAGTCGCAGCTGGCTTTTGTGGCGGAAATGCAGATTACACTTCTCGCACTGGAGAGACACCAGAAGCAGACCATTAGCTGTCGTCAACCCAAGGAACCTGTCAGCACTCAAAGCCCCAGAGAAGGAGATTCTTCCCATGAGGGATGAGCTGGGCTCTTTCCTTGCAAAGGCAGGTGAAGGAATCTTGACTTCTGCTGTGGTGCCACCCATTCCTTTCCCTTACTGAACACGCCTACCCCTGATTCCCTGCATGAATGCAAGTCTTACCCAAAAACACCACTCAGGTGCCAACTCCCTTATGCACTGATGTATTTCTGAATCTCCCTAGGATAAAAATAATTCTTCTTTCCTTTGGATCGCACACTTACTGCCTTGCCATATAGCTGCCTTGTGTATTAACATTCTTATCACTAATATTTACAATCTCCCTAGTGCCTAGCAGTAAAGTACCTGATAAATCTGAATACATTTAGACAAATGTATTGGGCCAGTCTAAGTTCATGGGTATTCTAGATGCTAAGATACTTTTCAATGCAGGTATATTTCCTACTAGGCTATATTTCTCAGATAAGCCAGCAAAGCATTAGCAAGTAGAGCTGCTTCTCCCTTTGATTCAGTGAATGTGTGGTAATACTTCCAAAAGTCGTGGCTTAAACGTAAGGGGATAACTGAGACTTGATCCTGGCTCCACAAATAGGCATTTTTAGGTAAAAGCCGAGCAAATCCAAATACAGTGTGGACTTCATTAATTCATTAGTTGTGACAAATATTTCAAAATGTGGAAATACCAACAATATGAGAGTCTTACGTGTAACCTTTGTAAATTTTGTCTAAATCTAAAACTACGCTGGAATAATAAAACTGGATAAGCTATATTCAGATACAGAATGCTTAAGGTAAAAAGAGAGATGAATTTAGAAAATTATAGATAGAATGGGAAAGATAGTCAGCAAAGATCCCTGGTATTAAGAGACCCAGGTCCATTGTATGCTGTTACTTATAGTTTTGGGTTCTAACCATGTTATTTCTCTCTGTGAGTCCTGGATCTCCCTTAGGTAAGTGCCTGTCAGTACATGCTGAAGGTCATTTTCAACTCTGATATCTTCTGTATCTAAAATTATAGCACATGATTATATAGCAGCAACTTACTGGATTCTTATTATGTGTATGTGCTATCCTGAACACTTAGCAAAGTGCTTCACTCAACACTGTTACTGTGTAAGGAAAGTACTATTTTTCAGGTTCATTTCATAGATGAGGACATTAAGGCACTACATGGATAACTAATTTGTCCAAGTACAAAGAGCAAGCAAGCAGACATTGATTCAAAGCCTTAGGAACGTGTGAACAACCGCATTTTGCAGGTTAACCTCTGGGCTGTAGGAGAACCATTCACTCACTATTCTTGGGCCCATTCCCGCCTACAGAGATGTGACAGCAGTCACAGACAATGTGTAAATAAACTAGTGTGGCTGTATTCTAGTACCGTGCAGAGTGACTGAAATTTAAATTTCATATACTATACAATGTCACAGAATACCATGTACATATATACACTCAGTTTTAGCTCACGGAATGTTAAAAAATTAGCCCATGGCCATTATTAGCTGAGATCCTGCTGTGGGGCGTGACAGTCCTAATGGCCCTTGTGGGGCAATGTGCTCCACAGCTGGCCGTCTTCTTGGTTGAAGTAGCCTTTCTCTGTTTTTTGTTTTTCTCTTAATAACCCACATTTTCCTGATTCTCCTCCTACTTCTAAGGTAGCTCCTTTTCAAACCCATCAGCTTTTCTTCAGTGTACCTCTAACCCAGGGAATAGCTGTGCCCAGGCAATCAGAAAGTGTTTGTAGAATGAATGAATGTCCCCTAAATCTGCCTATTTATAGACTGGACTGTTTCCCTAGGGCTCAGACCACTCAGCCCAGTGCCTCCTCTTCAAGATACTTAGGCTAAAGTCAAGCAGGGTATATTTGATGACCCTGGTCTCCCACGGTTAGTTCAGCAGGCAGCTCCCTATGTGCCTGAGATGGGAGCAAACAGTCCTGCTGGACCAGTCCTCCCCTCCCGGGCAGCCACGTTGGGCTCACGTACATGGTAAGGTTTCTCTCCCGTGTGGATACGCAGGTGGCTCTTGAGAGTCTGAAGGTGCCGGAAGCGGGTCCCACAGATTTCGCAGGGATAGGGCTTCTCCCCAGTGTGGATGAGCACGTGGGCACGGAGGTGGGCCACCTAAAGAGGAGCACAGGCATAAAGACTCTGCCACTGGGATGGGCCACAGACCTTCCAGCAGCCACAGGTCACAGCCAAAGCCCCAGAGGCCCACTCACCCCAGGCCTTGCTCAGCTCACCTGTACGAATCTGGCTCCACAGGTTTCGCATTTGTAGGGCTTCTCTCCAGAGTGAATTCGAGTATGGGTTTTCAGGTTGGCTGGCCGGTTGAACTGGGCCCCACAGATATTGCAACGATAGGGTTTCTCACCTAATCATCAAAAAAGGAGGAAAAAGGAAAGCCATGTCAATGGGAAAGGTCTCCCATGGATTTCAAGGCCAACTCCCACCCTCTGAGGCTGCTTGTGCTTTCTTACTTTTTGGGAGATGTCAGAAAGAAAGAGAGAAAGCCCAGAGATCTGTTCCTGGCCTGTCAGCTTCCCCCTACACATACTGGCACAACCTGCAGAGCACCAGGCCCAAGGAACAAGCAGTAGCATCAGGTAGGGTGGTTTGAGGTGAGGCAGAGGCAAGAGGGGCAGATTCCAGGAAGCCTGGGCTTCAGAACCAGTGCTGTCAGCAGCATCACCTGTCTTCAGAACCTGGGCAAGGCACTGTCCTTCTCTGGGCCTGTTTCCCTCCCTGAATCTGTGAGGCTAAGTCACACGACCTGAGAAGGCTCCTTTGCCTCCTCCTTTGTCACTGGACATGACTGACGCCATACTCCACTGCCTCAGCAGGGAGACACAACCAGGCTGCTCTGGTTTCTCTTAGAGCAAACATACTTTTCCACTGTGGCCAGTGCAGCTGTATCCATTTGTAAGAGGGATGGGACATGGGTTTGAGTGGAGGCTGCGGCAGAGGAAGCCAATCAGAGAGCTGAGCCTGCCTCCACAGAAAGTTCCTGGGAGGAGGAGGCCACTGAAAAATGTAAAACAAATCTTTGGAAGACATTAAAAGGCCTTTCACTATCTCCTGGCTTTGCAGAAGCATGCACAATGTCTCTATCAGCCTCGGTTTCTTCACCTGTACAATGGAAATAACCCTTCTGACCCCAGCAAAGGCAGAGAGGCAGGACAGAGTCTCAGAGGAAAGACAAAGGATATGGAGAGTGGGGACCAGCCTCAGCAAAACAAGACAGGACTGAGCCCCTCCTACGGGGCCTACTCCCTGCCTCACCCAACTGGGCCCCAAGGCCCCTGGGGCTGGCTATGGACCCTCTGCCTTCCTCCCTAGGAGCCCTGGAGCATTCAGGCAGAGCGAGGCACGGCCATACCCGTGTGGACGGTCTTGTGGCTGGCCAGGTTGCCCTTGTAGCGGAAGGAGGCCTGACAGCGGTCACACTTGTAGGGTTTGTCACTGTGGGTCTGCAGCGTGTGCCTCTTGAGCGAGGCCTCCTCAGAGAAGCGGCAGTCACATTCATTGCAGAAGAAGGCCCCATTCTCTGTCGGTGGGGGAGAGGGACACAGCGTCAGTCAGCAAGCCACAGAGGAAGGTCTTAAGGCTCCTTCCCCTGGAGCTATCCTGGTGTCACACAAAAGCCCCCAGCTAACCAACACTCACAAGAGCTCAGAGCAAAGGCCCTATGGGAGTCTATCTGTTTCTTAGCATTAGGATCCTCGTGCATGGAGGAGAAAGGGGACAGATCAGACTGTGAGGTAGAGAAGAGAAGTTCGAACCCACAGGGCCCCAATGGCCTGTACCAATTCGCTGAATATGCAATGGTTTTTCCTTCTTGCTTCTAGAAGGACCTCTGAGAACTCACTTTTCTTATGGTTTATTTACCTTCAAACTCAGAAGCCCTCGGGCAAGACCCTTCCTTCACCTCTGAGAGCCTCTCTCTGCTCTCTGTCTCCAAAGTTAGGGTCATAAATCCTGCCTGCCTTGTAGGAACATGTTACGTTACACAAAACAAAACACAAAGCATTATAGAGAAGTGAGATATAGTGAACTTAATTATACTCTGAGGTCACTGAAGTGACAGTAAGGAAGACTTCCCAGTCATCCCTGTTCCTATTTGGATTTTGTGTCTCCAAAACACCTCTGTGACACTAGGACACCAAAACTGACAGTAGAAATAGAAACAGAGGCCCAGAAAAAAGGAACTGGAGTGCAGAGCAAGACACATAGCTAGGGGACAGAAGGGGACAGTCCCTGTTCTTTTCTGACTACAGATTTATGATCCTGGGCCAAATATCTCTAAATCAGCAACTTATTTCTTTTTTGACTTCTATAAATATTTGAAAATGGCATGCAATGTATGATGGCGCCATAATGTCACAGCCAGAGTGGGTGAAGAGTTGTATCGTTTATCTTGTAAAAACTATGATGCCCATCACCAAATATCCAGAAACATTAATTTAACCCACTGAGTTCAACTAACTTCATTCTGCTAACATTTACTGAGTAGCTCCTGCATGGGAAGGACTGACTAAGACCCACAGAGGATGCTGGGAGGACTGAAGTCAGACGCTTCTCCTTAAAGAACCCAAAGTCTAGCATGGCAGAGGAGGACTGGGCAAGCTCTGGAAGCAAGAGCCAGCTTCCTGGCTCCCTTTGCTGGAATGGAGCTGAAAAGACTGCTCGGTCAGTCTTGATGGCACCAGATTCACTCCAATACCCCACCAAAACTTGCTCTGGCCAAGGAAGTTTCCAGAGACAGGAAAAGTAGGGTCATCCACTGGTGATGTGCAGGGCCAGGGGAGTTCTATCCCAAAACTAGGGAGGACAATGCATACACAACAGAAGCACAAAACCCAGTGGCGCTTCCCTCCCGGGCAAGGAGAGGCAGGAACTCAGGAACGGGACTCACCACAGCTGGAGTCTGAGTACTCAGACTGAGTCTCTCCCATTTCCTCCGGGAACGTGGGGCCAGCGGTATGGAGGCACATCTCTGTGTGCTGCGGGGACTGAGAGCCACAGGATGTGCACTTGGGGGGATGCATGTAGAGGGGCGAGTGGCCCTCACTGGTGCTGCGTGGGGAGCCTGTCAGGGACCTGCGGGCAGGAGTAAAGATAGATTAGTACCTGGGCGGGGGAGTCCAATCCTCTGCACCCCTGCACATTTTCTCCTCCTTGTGGCAGGCAAGCCCAGAGGCTACAGCTGTCACAAGGCCTGAGGCCCCTAATCACTCTCAAGCCTGCCTCCAAATAACATCTATGGGATCAAACTGAGTCCAAACCCCTCTCTTGGGCCCAGTTCTTTCTTGAGGTACAGCCACCAACATTCTTTCTCACTGTAAGGGAAGCTTGAGGGTCCCTTGCTATAGCAAGACCACGGGAAATATCTTTGGAATCTGTGGGATACTCTTCTACCATAGAAAGGCATGATCTCTCTTGCTATAAAAAACATACTTATGTATAACACACTTCCTTACTTAGGTTAATTTGCTCCACAGGCACTAATTCTAAACCTTTAAGAGACTTAGCATTTTAGGCAAAACAAAAACAAACAAACAAACAAAAGAACCCAGACTTCTGCCCAGGTAATTCTGGAGCTCAGACCCCACCAGCCTCTGAAGTCACCTGTTCATGATGTTGTTGAGCCGGCTGGCTTGGGGGATGGTGGAGTCTTCCCCGCTGGCACTGAGCTTGGTTGGGGACTGGAGGTCAAGGTTCTCAGGCTCCATCGGTGGCTGGCAGGCAGGTGGGGCAGTGTAAGCTCTCGGTGAGAGGCGGCCCAGTTCAGCCTGCTCGGGCCCCTCCGGCTTGGCATTCTGGTTGAGACTGTTGAGCACAATGAACTTGTATTTCTTCCAGTTGCAGGCTTTGGGATCAGTGGGACTCTTGGCTGGAGGGGAACCAGAGGCCTGAAGGATACAGGCATTCTTGCTGCTGCAGGACTCTGTGGGTGAGTTGGGCTGGCAGTCAGATTTCTGGGGGCTCTGTGGACTAACCAGACCTTTCCTATTCAAGGGTGCGTTGGGGGGCTCGAAATGCAGGGCAATCTCATCCTCTGAAGAGGGTCGCTCTTCTTCTTTGCTGGTCTTGTCACAGAAGTATGGGGCATTCCGGGCTGTGGGGGCAGCAGGCTTGGGGCCCTCGGCCACACTGTAGCGCATGTCACCTCGTGCTTCCTCTGGGACTGCTTCCTTGGGTGAGTAGAGGCTGCTGTGGCACAGGCTGGGAGACACCTCCAGGGCCGGCCGGCTGTACTCACTAGGCCCTGGCCTGGCACTATCACAAGGGAGTGCTCGCTCCTTGGGGAAGGGGTTGGCCACAGGCATCCTAGCATCTCGAAGTTCCTCATCAGAGAAGAGGAACGGACTGACTGGGAGGTGACTGTACATGGGGTAAGAGGCTGGTGGTGTGGACAGGCCACCGTACAAGCTGGGAGCAAAAGCTCTGCTCTCACACCCAGGGGTGTTCCTCAGTGGGAGGTTGTTCTCCACCACCTCCCGACCCCGATAGGCCATGATGTCTTGGGGCATCAGCATCCGGCTGTTCAGAAACTCTTCACGGGAAGGTTTGATGGCAGAAACCATCTCTGCTTCACTGTGGGAGAAAAAAACACCGGGCAAAAAATCAGAACTGTTAAATGACCTGCCAGTGACACTGTTATGTAATCACTTCTGTGCTTGAGTCAGCTGGACGCAGGGGATGTGGCTTTGTAATAGGGAAACACAAAGAGAAGACACATACACTAGAAGTCTAGCAATGTGTCTTACAGTGGGGGAAAGCTGAGGCCCACAGAAAGAAGTAAATTATGTATTTTGGGGCTGATATGCTCATATCTGTGGACATACAACTTTTCTGATGCTAGAGAATTTAATAGCTTACATGAAGCTTGCAAAGCCCTTATCTCAGATCATGCATGCAAAATCCGGGGAGGAGGGAGAAGCAGGAATTTTACACACCCAGAAACAAGGAGGGAAAAATTTACCCAGTATAATTTCAGAGGGTCATTAAACAACAAACAAAGTAGATCTCTGTTAAAGAAAGAACCTGCCCCATATGCTAGATGGATTCACAGGAAAGTTTATGGTGAAGAACAGGCAGTAAATGCCAGTGCAAGAAACTCTGGTTTGCAAACCCACCTTGGTGTTTAGCAGCTATGTGACCTGGAGCTTATTATTTAAGCATTCTAAGCACAGGCCCGACCTATAGAAAGTCCCAAGAAATGACAGCAATGATGATCTCACTACCATTATCATCCACAGGAGACAAAAGACTCTGGCTGTAGACGCTCGAAGGAACATTATTATGTGGGGGAAAAAATAGGTCAGCTCAACATGGTCACAGTTAACTGAGCTAGAGCTAGTGAGCAAAAGCCAAGGGAGTCAGATTTCAATTTGCCATCGAGAGGCGCTTTCTGACTATCCAAGGTAGTCTCTGTGGCTCTGGGAACACAGAGTTCTGGACTCAGATGAAACAGCTTGGAAAACTCTTCTGTGGGGTAAGTATGCCACCTCCCCAGAGCAGCTGGGTCAAATGGGTCAGAAAAAATTAAGCCGAGAGTCTGTGTCCCACTTAGCAAAGCTCTTCACTTCTTTGTCCTTTGGGTTCCTCACCTTCCAATGAGGATTATCTCTTCCTTTCTCTTAAGTTCCCTTAGACCTAATGAAGCCTATTAGCAGCAGGCGACAAACAGGACAAGTAAGGCGGCCCCAGAGGCTGGTAGGGAACTAAGGACAAGAGCATGTGTATAAATGGTTGGAACAGAAATCTAAATGAGAACTAAAATACACATGCAAACAGTAAGACAGAACAAAGGTGCAAGAGCAAGCAGAGCGCTCGGGAACACAGAGGAAGAGCTGACCAAGGAAAAGCAGTGATCAGAAAAAATTCCACACAGAGGAGCTAGAACCCAATCTTGGTCTTGCAGAATGAAGAGGAAGAAAGGGCATGTTAAGTGATGGGAAGAGAACTAGAGTTGGTAATGCGTAGGACATATCTGGACAGCTGTGAGGAGTTAAGCCTGCCCGAAGGCCAGAGTTAATAGTTATGAAGGCAAAAGTGTGCAAAAGTAGAGGAATGTTGGTTGTGGCACAGTAGGGAGAACTGTGTTTCCCCACATGCATGCGGTATCGAGGGTTTCTCATCCAGAATCATCCCTTCTGCCTCCAGGTCCTCTACCTAGGGGGCAGCTCACCTGGCCTTGATAAACTTCCGGCAAGTGTCCACAACGTGCTCCATCTGTAGGTACATAGCGGTGGCCATCACGGCCATGATGTTCCCTTCCCGCAGGTTGAGCCGAGATGTGTACATGAAGTCCAGGAGGATGCAGAAGCCCTCAGGGTTGATCTCAGGATCCAGATTGATCACGCTGAGGTTGCACTTCAACTGGTCTGTGAAGATGCTATAGAACAGGCCGCTGCAAAACAAACGGTTCCTTCTTGTAGACGTGTCACATCTGTGATCATTTATAGCTGCTCAATTCATTCCCCAGGGCCTCATCCCAGCACTTCCATAGCAATTAATGGTAACTTTTGTGTATGGAGCACATATCAACTGCCAGAAATTCCATCAGTACTTTCTGTATGCTTTTATCCTATGTTCCTGCAAGGTAGACACTACCACTTTGTACTTTTTGGTGTGGGACAGCTAAGATCTCAGAGGGTAAGTAATTTTTCAAAGTCACAGAGCCTGTTTTCTTTTTAGTCTTAACTGCATGGATTGCCAGAGTTAAATTTAGCACACATTTGCAGTAACTATTCTTAGTCTGTATCTTTGGTATAAGTATTTTCCTCCTTGGTATATTACAGTATCCTTCTTTTTAGAAATCTATTTTTTAGAAGTAAGTTGGATGTAGAGGTCAAATAAATAAAAATATGCCTATAACTCTACTACACTGCTTTTCTCCAAGTCCACAGGCTATCAGAAGGTAAATTATTCCTAGTAGATTCCAATAAAAATCTTAAGACATGCTCCCAGGGACCAGATTGTCCAGTGGAAGAAAGCTAAAATTCTAGGTTGTCACTTCATATCTACTCTTTCTGGATGGATTACCAATTATTTCTTGGATTTGCCAAGAAATATCTGTGCAACCTTGGCTAAGATACTTACCTTCACTGTATCTTGATTTCCTTACCTGCAAATCAGCAGGAATGCTAGTGTGGATATTAGAGGCTCATTGAAACCATGGAAATATTAAAGGGATAGACGATGCCTGCATGCACTAAGCGTCAACAAGCATTACCTACCATTTTTATATCCCTAGCAGCCTCAGTCCTCTCCATTACTGAAAAGAAAGTACTTGTAGAAGTTGGATGGTTTCTAACCACATTAGGGACCTTGCACTCTCCATCATTCTACCTGCGACTTGCTTTTATCATCTCTGAAATGGAGGCACAGTGAAAGGGCTGCTAGGAAGGTGGATGGAGCTGATTTAATAGAATGCTGCTCTTAAAACTTGGACAACTGGTCAAATATGAAGAATTAACTGTCTCACTCTAACTCAATGTATTCTGAACACTCAGGAGATACAGGTACAGCATAAAATAAATAGTTATAGCAGAAAAGAGCAAAAAGGTCTCTGGTTAATTTGCTTAATCTGGTTAAAGATTCTCCTTTTTTTCTTCTTTTTTTCCTTCTCTTTTCTTTTCAACTGGCTAACTCAAGTCATTCTCCCTGTTTGCCCCAAACATATCCTTTCTTGTGGCAGTATATGACTGCTTCACCTATTATGACCACAAGAACAGAAGCCCTTTCCTCTCTAAAAGTGTATTCAATCATTAGCTTCCTAGGAGTGACAAAGCCAGGCCATGTGCTGAGGAGATCTGGCGATAAAGGGGACGTCTCCCCAGACATCTGTCCTACCTCGCTGGCTGCCAGCACCTCCGTTCCCAACTTAGTAGTTACAGCTCCTTCCTGTTCAGATCCCTCACCTGCAGGCCATCAGAACTGTCTTATGGGCTCTAAACTGTTCACGGCTGACCACGATGACGACATCAGTCAAGATGTCGCGGCTCCGGAGGCGATTAAGGTTGAGAAGAACGTCACTGGCATGGCGGGTGAACTGGATACAGCTGTCAGCCGGCGAGGCCATTTTGTCTTCACCTGAGCAAAAGATGCCAAAGTCCTATTAGTCCTCAGAAACCGTCCTTACCAGGAGGACAAAGCATGTGGCATAGGCTGCTAAGGTATGGCAATAATTCAGGGCCCTTGTGTTTGATCATAGATCAACTCATAACCCATCTCTGGGTATCACTCTTCATAGCTATAAAACATAGAAATTTTTTTAGGAGACAGGGCAAGGGAAAGACTCTGTTGAATGTTTTTCCCACATACCAAATATTCTGCCAGGCATTAAGAACCAGTGAATGTGTTGCAATGGAGAGAAATTTCATCTTGAAGACTACCAGGCTACTTTGCCTTTGGCCAGCTATGTGACTTGGGCCAGGTTGTTTTCTATTTCTGGGCTTTGGTTTTCCAGCATGGGGACAGTCATAGCTATGTCTGTTGTTTTAAACATTAAAGATAGGCGCCCAGAGTGTAGTAGGTCCCCCCCCCCCCGCCAAAATCAGAGCTATTTTCATCACAATCTAATTTCATTATCCCAGCCACAGCCAGTCTCTCTACATTACTGGGCTTATTTTCCTTTATGCTTGAAATACCTAACACAGTACATCTTAGTGCCTGGTAGCCGCAAAGTTAGTCTGAATAAAGAAATGAGTGAGGGAATAACTAATCATAAAAGGGTCGAGGACAAGCGAAGGGAGTTGGGAGGAACATAGAGGGAATTGTTAATCTTTGTGCCTTCAAACAAAAGATGTCGAAGTCCACAGCAACACATGCATTAGCAAAATTAAAAAGAAACAATTTGTCACAAAATTTTAAAGCATATAATTAGACTTACTTACCCAAAGCCTTGCTTCACAGTTCGAAATTTTGCTTAAAAACTGCAAAGAAGAGAAGAGAGCAAACAGAAATTGATTTAATGAATGTAAGATTGTCCACTATAGTCTTATTTTAGGACATGCGTATTTAGTTTTGCTTTGATAGCTGCAGCCTGCCAACTGCTGTGGTTTCACCACAAGCTAGCAAACATATTCCAGTTCTGCTCTTCCAGAAACAACAGGCACCCAAAGCTATGTGCTACCAACGTCTTCACCCCGAGTACTGAGACTGCTCTTACATACATTAGTTACATGTGCACACGCATTTTCTTTCTCAAGGTAAAACATTTATATCATCCCAACGCCACTTAAGTCTCTGGGAAAGAAACACTAAAAAAGGACATCTTTCTATATCAATGACAATGATCCTAAAAACAGTGGCCACTCTCAAAACCTGCTAAAATATTATCTTCCAAGCCTTACAATGATTACACAAGACTGATAGACTTAGTATCTCTATCCTTATTTCACTAGTGACGAAACTGACCCAGAGGTTCAAGTGGCTTGACTAAGACAAACAGCTAGGCACTATTTCCTGATTCTCTGGAACACTTAAGACAGAATACAGAGTCTACAGAATACGAGCTGAGATGGCATGTCTTCACATTCCTTGAGGATCTTTGCCCTCTTTTTTCAGTTTCCTCTCCCCTCCCTCCCGGGTCGGGTCTAAGACCAGAGAGAGTACTATAGCTTCCAAGTTTGTGTTTCTGCCTCCTGGTGAAAGATTTAACTATGTGGTTTACCTGAGAACTGGCCAGCGAGCACTAAACTTTAAAGAGATTTAATGAAATGTGTGTTCTTTCCAAATTGCTTTCTCTAAAACAATAATCACGCAAGGCATAGGTATAAGATTCTCCTTTATGACCAAAGGTGGGCTGTCAAGGGAAACCACATGATATCAGAATTCTTTTTTCCCTATTCGAAAAAGCAAAGCTCTTTAGAACTGTTTTCCGGGTAAAAGGGCCCTAGGCCAGTGAGGTCATGTTGGGTCGTGTAGATGGCTGACGGCCTGGCCCTAGGTCTCCTGGCTGGAATTCCTGTCCTCTATCCAAATTGGCCTACGTGCTGCAGAACATGCGAGACAGCACCCCGAGGTGGGTGAATCTCGTTTTTAAGTTCCTTCCCCCACACAAATACTTTGCGCCATTCCAGGCTGCTGAGTCTTACCAAGGGAGCACTCTAAAATGAGAAGTTTCTTTGAGTATGTAACCAAACACACCGACATTTCTCCGTGGTCAAAAGGGTCAATCGCACAATCTCATTGGTTTCAAGGTTAGTGTGTGCATGTGAGTGAATCAGGACGGGGAGAAAGACATGGCACAAGAGGCTGCCTCCTCCTCTCCCCATCCTAATTCAAGATGGAGTGAGAGAGAGCGAGAGCCACTAGTATTACGGTCCTAACCAGAGCTCCTTGATCATCTCTTTTGAAAAAGAATGTTGAAGGACCCATAAAGTTTATTTAGAAACTCTCTCCTCTTCCTTCATGGAAGAGGTCCTCAAACATTTCTGGAAAACCCAGGCTTTCCTTCAACCAGCTTTCAACCACCAGCTGTCTTGTGGATTTCCAGTTCCAGACTTTTGGAACCACAGGAAGCCGAGATTTGCCATTTCACCATGACAAGTGGCAATGACTCATTCCAGACACAGATTGAAACAAACAAAAACAGTTCCCCTGTGTCCACTGTGAGCTCAGATTTGGGCTTTCCACCGTAAGCCTCTCCTTGGCCTGGATTTTTAAAAATCGCAATGCAGTGGACTGCATCCTTACGAAATTCACGACTTTGTGAACTCCCCCTGAGTGTTACAGGGTGGAAGAACCCCCTAGAATTTGGTGTGGATTCTTCTCTTTTTACAGACCACTGACCTTTCCCATCCATTAGCGTATCTTGCTAACAGCCCTGATTTACTGTGGAGGATACTGGGAATAAACCTTGCCCAGTGTGCAACAAAATCTTGGACAAACCTCATCTACCAGCAGGGGTCCTATCAATGTCACTCACAAGACTCAACCCACAAAGCCATAACTCAGAAACTTAAAAAACTCCCCCCCAAACAAACAAACAAACAACCCCCTCCCCCCATTAAAAAAAAAAAACCTGCAGCAGGCCAGACTTGGATGCTCTTGGCTACAGGAATACCAAGAAAGAGTGAAACGTGCTCTAATGGGACTCCCACACCCTTTCCTCGAGTTTGTACATCAAAGAAGCACCTCGGTGAAGGCAGAGGCTGAAAAGGAGCTTCTTCTGGCAGAAGGATAAAAGGAAGCCTCCCCGCCCCTCCAAAAAAGGCAAAGAGAGAAAACCGGCAGAAGTGAAAGGGAACGCGAGCAAGCGGCAGGCGAAGCGATGAGTGAGCAAGCTATGCTTCCCTCCCTCCTCCCCCTGCCGGCTGGGAGCAGACGGCAGCGCGCTGGGTTTGCTCGCTCCTTGCAGCCGCTCAGCCCCGGCGCCACAAGAGCGCGCGCCCTGCTAGCCTGCGCAGACTCGCCCACCCCGAGGCCCCGTACCTGGCTCCAGGCACCGCCCACCCCCGGGCGACCGGCTGGCACCGCAGGCACCGCTGCCCACCCGCTTCGGAGCCCCCGAAAGAAGGCGCGCTGGGAGGCAGGGTGGTTAGGACCGTGGCAGCCCTTAAATTAGTTGCATTCAAATAAAGGTTGTCGTGCACTCCGGTAGCTAACATTGTGTATGTGCCGCTGCCCTCCACCCCCAGGCCGCCAAGGCAAGGGGTAGTGAGGGGAATGGCACAGCCCTCTCATTCCCGGAACATAGCCGATCTCCGCTAGCGGATTTCACAGAACTCTCTCTGCCTAACGCTGGTTCCAAGGAGAAGTAACTTTCCAGGAAGCTGCCGGCCCCCGACGGCCGCTGGGATCGCTGCCTGCGCCGGGGATTCACCGGGGGAGGAGGGGGGGGTCGAGAAGGCTCTCGGGGAACACGGTACACTTTCCCCTAAATCACTGGGCCGCGCGAGGTCCAGGGCTCTGATTCACCTCTCCGCTCCCCTCCCCCCAGGCACACATACGCGCAATCTATAGATGGGCAAAGGCGGACGAGTTAGGAGCGCAGCCCAAGACAGAACCCCGGAGTTTGGAGGCGATCTGAGGCTCATTTCAGGCCCAGGTCGCCCAACTCTGGCGTGTACCGGGCGCCTCTTTTCGCCTCTCTCACCCCCTGCTGTCCCCTCCCCGGCTCGTTAAAGTGAAGGGGTAAGCAAGGCGTCAAGGTCAAAGCGCTGTAAACCCAAGGCTGAGTCCCTTAGGAAGCAGCCCGGTGGGAAAGAACTAAACCGAAAGCCCCTTCCGCCTACGTTGGCAAACCCGGGAACCCAGATCCGCTCGGTTTCCGCCCAAAGTCTTTAGGAATGTAGCTACCAGGCGGAACCTGGCAGGGTCTGGGGATTTCAGAATTCTGTTTCCTCGAAACAAATCATAGAGTCAGGGAGTTCGGACTCAGAGGGGACCCGGAGCGCCGACCCCAGCAGGGCGCGCTCCAAAGTTACATCGCCTTCCCAGGATTGAAACTCCTGAGTGTCATCTCCTAACTGTTCCCGATAACTGGGTCCAGGAGATGATTTGGGGTGGAGGTCCGAAGGGGGCAGCCTCGGCTTCAGACGCCTCGGTCTAGTTCCCAAACTAGGAGGCGATGTCACACTCCAGCGCACCCCATCTGCGGCGGAGGCGGGGTCAGGGTCTGTCCTCGGAAGCTGAGTCCTCCCGCACCCAAAATACCATTCTATGGCTTTCTCATCCCGTCTCCCGATAGGATAAAGGAGGAAAACGTAGACTGAGGTTTTAATCTGAGATGGGGCGACAGTCCGGGCAATGAAAATTAAGTAAATTCACTTCCTATAAAGTAGGAAACCCATGGTTCGGGCAAGTCAAACCTCACCGTGTTTTTACCACTGTCGAACACTAGAGAGAGCCCTCGGTCCAGGCCTGAAGCCCAAGGCCCCCCTCCACGGCCCGCCCCTCCTCCTCACTGACCTAGTTTGGCTTTGGTCGCCTAATTTGGAGAACGCCCTTACCCCCTACCCCTCTCTTCTTTATCCAGGCCGGCTGTTCCGATTATAGGCAATCTAATAACTCCAATAATTCGCTGAAAAGTTCGAAGGAATATCTGAAAGCACAAGACACCCTTCAGGGTCAGGGACAAGGAATTTTAATAAGGCTGGGGCTGCCGCAGTTAAACTGGCACCGTGGCCCCCGCCGGACCAGTCCCTTTCCCAGCAGAGTCCAGCTAAGCAGCCCTTAGGGTCCAGACGCCCTGGGCGGGCGGTAAGGGTTAGGTTCAAACCTCGGGGGTGGAAAGGGGACACTCCTTGTGCTCTTGGCTGGAGGGTGGGGGGAGCGACAGACTACAAAGACGCATAGCACCATGACCTCGGCACCTGCCTCGGGTGACCGAGGTGTTCGAGGACATTATGTCCTGACTTTCAGTTCTGTCACGGTTGTTGCCAAGAGCGCTGCTCTCGCAAGCCTGCAAGCTTCTAGGAATTGCAATAAAACAGAGGGATGTGTTTTATCATCAAGATCTGAGGAGTACCAGCAAAGGGACGCTCCCTGTGCGGCCAGAAGGCCGGAAGACACTGCCAGCAAACACGTCCCCTGACACGGCTCTCCCCGCCATCCTAGCTGGATCGGGCTCAGCCTTTGCAAAAAAGGAAAGAAAAAAAAAAAAAAAAAAAAAAGGCTGGGGGGGGGGTGGTGGAGGCGAGAGGCACGATCTCCCTAAGCTAACAATGCCTTTTAAAATTTGATCTGGACAGAAGTCAGCCAAGGTCTTTATTCACGTTAATGAAGATGGAAGGCACTAACTGTCCTTGGAAAGCGATGAGTCAAACCTCACCGCGCTTCAAACGCGTACCCAGATTTGTTTCCAGCACGGAGAGAGGCGCATTTCTCTGACGCGTCCTCCGACAGCTCCCCGCAGTGGGAGCCGCTGAACTCGATTTGGGCGGACCTGGGCGGGGAGACCGCAGTGCCCTCGCCAGGCGAGCGCGCCGGTGTCCGCTAGAGGCCGCCACACGCCGACGCGCCTTAAAAGAGCTCGGAGCAAGAAAACTTCACTGAGATGTGGCCCAAATTCTGGGGAGTTTAGCTTCTGCTTATGAGCCCCCCTGCTACTGCTCTCCACACGCAGACACGCACACACGCGGCTTCTCGCCAGGCCACTAAGCACAGGTCAGAGGGACTTTCTGGGACCAAATGTGAGGCTCAGGATCGGTGTCATGTCCTTCTGCAACGCTGCAGTGGTGTAACCCCAGAGTTTGGAGACGCCCCACTCCTTGTCACCACTGTAAGCTTTTCATGGTTTTATCGAACATCTTAGGCTACTCTTTCTAAACGAATTTCTCCAAAACAACTTGGAGATGTTTTCCAATATACACTGGCCACGATGGTCAGGTGGACACGAGAGGTTAAAAATCAGGGTTAACTAGGACTGTGCTCCTTTCTCATAGATCCTGTAAAGGAACTGAGACCAACTTTGGTTTGAAACCACTCTGGAATTCTCAAGTTTATAACCTGGTCCTGGTTAGGTAACTAACTCACTACTAACATGTCCCCTAATCGTGCCTGTTTCTTCAACTGCAAAAGAGTTTAAATCCTAACCACCCTGAACTTTGGATGACACCCTTCTACCACTTTCCCAGGGCAGGCAGCACAGCCACAGGTACATGAATTCCGGTTTCTCCTAGTTGAGATAGATGCGGGATTGCCGAGACATTGCGTATGAGGTCGAGCATCCAGGACCCTTAAATTTTCATCCATCTTGCCAAAACTTTGGTGGTCGGATGCCGTACCCGTTGGAGAATACTCTCCCTCTCTTAATCCCACCGTTTGATGAGTAGTACACTGGGAGACCCAGAGGTGCAAAGGTTCGGCCCACCGCCCGAGACCGGATGTCGACCACGACCCACCACTAGGTGGCGGACTCAGTCCGTCCGAAAATCAACGTTTGGCCAAAACCGTCTAGCCGGATCCCCCACTGGCTTTTTTTCATCTTCTGTCTGTTGGGGGTGGGAGGTGTGGCTGCTTCCCAAACCAAAGCTGGAAAACATTATTTAGTGGATATCATTGCCTTCTTCCCGATGCTCACGTCTCTAGCAACCACAACGCAGAATCTGGGAGCTGCTTTCACGTATTTTACAGGATTTTTGTTGTTGTTTTCCTCCTAAGAGCTGAAAGTACTGGTAAAAGAAAGGGTGCACTTGTCTTCAGAGAGCAGAACAGCACTCGAAGATATTGGAAGAGAATTCTGCCAAACACTGGCCGGCTGGCATTAAAAGGGCAAAAAAAAAAAAAAAAAAAAAAAAACAGAGAAGAGAAAAAAAGGCGGGGAGTCGAGAATGAACCTCTGGTCCCCACGAAGAAAGCGGGGGTGGGGCGGGGGAAAGAACTAGGTCCTACCCTGACTCACTGCGCCCGCCAAAGCGTAGGGGTGCAGGAGCAGTGGGGTCTTTCTGAGGCCTCTGGGCTCGGGCTAGGGCTCAGGTTTGCAGCCGCAGCTCCTGGCTTCCGGGGAGGGGGGCGCGGAGTACCCGGCCGCTCAGCCTCTGCGCAGCGCCGCACGCGCGCGTGCCCACTTGTTGCGCAGTGCAAGAAAACCCAACACGCACCGCACTCTCGCCTCCCAGAGGGGTGCAGGCCAGCCTAGCACCGCCATCCACAGATCTGACCCTCACCACCACCGATGGTGAAATGATGCACTTCCAGCTACGACTATTTTTTAAACACCAAAACATTCCTCTATATCTCAATGTCAGACAGGCAGCAGTCTGCAGGCCCTGAGAAGTCAAATTCAAAAGGAAAGGCGCGCTACCACGACCTGGAGAATTCAAGACGACTCAAGTCCAGCGGGGCACCCCTATCTTGAGGCCCCTTCCCCTAAATCGTTGGACCTGCGTTGCCTGCTATGACACCATCCCTAGCTAGACAGCAACGTTTTCTTCCTTACTGGAGAGATCAACTGCAAAGTATTTCTTTTAAAGATAAAAATTTTATCTCTCCTAGATTTTAGTTTTTAAAAATTTTTCGGGGGGGGGGGCTCATTAAGCTCATTACAGTTG